AAGGGAAAAGGCCTGGGAAAGAGGTTGAAGCTTCTTGTGAAGATCATAGTCTCTTGTTGTGAACGAGGATAAGTGCACGAGATGGACGAACCGTAGGCGAGTCCATTCAACTTCTACACCTCGCGCTTTCCTGTGAACTTCTCTCAGTTTTTTCTTAAAAAATACCGCGAGCTTACGTAACTCAGGAATATTAAATAACATAGCTTTTAAACAATCAAAGGGTGCGTAGAATCAAAACCGCATTATGTATAAGAGACAACTAAGTAGAAACTAACTCAGCTAACAGAACTAAATGTTTTCCTTTACAAGTATTTTAATTCTGCGCGTGTAACTTTCATTTTAATTCGTAAAAGTAAAAAAGTGATCACACAGAACTAAATCGCTACTATAGATATGTTTCATCGGGTGCGCAATACTGTTGGAACATCTTGTGATCGTCATTTTTCTTTTACCGAATTGAAAAACAATAAAAGCTAACCAGAAAAAGTGAAAATACAAAAATTAATTCAAATCAAAACTAGCTAAAAATATGAGCGACGTCCACGTAAGATACTTCCTTGACAGATCATTGAAGCTAAGTTCTTGAAAGAACAAAATAACAACTCTTTTAGAATATGCATTCCCTTTGTATTTTACTAAACAACAAATTAGGAATTCTTGTATTTCCATAGGCTGACTGTTTATCAGATCAGCTAAATAATGTTGCCTGTTTACATTCTACTTTCAATAATATCACTAAAATTCTGCACACTTTGTAACAAACAATTTTACTTCTCAAACGCATGGTAAGTGGAATCAGTCACAAACGGCCTCACTTCAGTGTTCTCTGTAGTAAACCAGTATAACAACATCATAATATAGAACGTTCTCCTTGTACATGTGATGTAACAGTACAGACACTTCAACTGCGAAACAAGAAAACTGACAAACAATCAGTAGGCCTCATACAATAAATATGGGTGTCTGAAGTACCCATATACGCAAAGTGAGTAAATTGTTTATAAGAGAAATTATGGTGGGAAAAGATTAAATTATTTAACAATAAGACTACGAACCCAAGCTTTCTATGACCAACTACACCCTCATGCCAAGGGTCTCTCTTCTTTCCACCCAAGCCTCGTAGGAGATGAAAAGCATGTCACAGCGTAGTATTTTTGTAAATCTACCATCCCTACCCTAAGTTTAACGTTTCATGTATCAGCCATGATGAATCAACTACCTGTTATGAGGTGTTACCTGTA